GGTTAGAAGCTATGAAAGAAGAATATAATTCACTTTTGTCGCATGGAGTCTGGGAACTTGTTGATCGACCTAAACATGGAAATGTCATTAAATGTAAATGGGTTTTCAAAGAAAACGTTGATCCAAGTGGTAATTTTGAGAAATTTAAAGCTCGCTTAGTTGCAAAAGGTTTCACTCAGCTATATGGTGTGGATTATGAAGAGACTTTTGCACCAGTTGTTAGATATTGTACATTACGTTTATTATTTGCAATTGGAATTGAAAATGATATGGACATTGAACATTTAGATGTTAGTACGGCATTCCTTAACAGAAATCTTAATGAATGCATTTACATGGAGCAACCTACTGGATTTGAGATTGAGGGGCAGAGCAAAGTTTGTTTACTCAAGAAGAGTTTATATGGACTCAAACAAGCTAGTAGAGCCTGGAATAAAAAAGTGCATCGTTTTAATTACCAATGGCTATACGCAATTGAAGACTGAAAAATGTGTCTATTATAAAGACACATTACAGCACTTTATGTCGATAACTTATGAATAACTTCTTCATATTCAGTTCAAATGAACACCAAAAAGTATGCTATATAACAAAATATAACTGGATAGATGGCGCTACGACTAAAAAGTCCTTGAAAAACCAAGTACAAAGATATGCTATATAAGTTGCTCAGTTCCAACTTCAAGATCAAATTGCTTTTGCTGCAAAAGCAAGCATTGGGTATGAAGGTTGAAAGGAACCGGGAGCAAGGGACTTTAAAGCTAACGCAGTCGGAATATGTTAAAAGTCTGTTAACATAATTTGGCATGGAAGATTGTTACAAAGTAGCGACTCCTATGGAAGTCAATTTCAATCTGCCGAAAGCAGAAACAATCGATAAGCAGTTTCCGTATCAGGAACTTATTGGTAGTTTAATGTATCTCGCTGTTTGCACACGTCCAGATATTGCATTTGTGTGCAGTAAACTCAGCCAATATAACACTTGTTATAATGAATCGCACTGACTCGCACCTAAACGTGACTGCTGTATCTTTCAGAAACAACTAGCTATCGTCTCAATTTTAGGAGAGGTAGTAATAAAGTTGAAATTTCATCCGACGCAGATTGGGCGGGGGATAAGACTGATCGAAAGTCATGTTCAGGATTTCTGAGTAGGTTCTGCTTTTGTATTGTAAATTGGTACAGTCACAAACAACAAAACGTGGCTTGTTCTAGCGCCGAAGCTGAATATTATGCTCTTGGAAGTTCTGTAAAAGAGGCAAAATTTGGAAAAAAAAATTATTTGAACTTAAGTACAGGAGCTTGTCACCACCAGAACCTATAACAATTTTTAATGACAATCGTAGCACACTCAAAATGGTAGAGAACGAATGTTTTAGGAGAACTAAACACATAGACATTCATCATTATTTCATTCAAGAATGTGTTGATGATAAACTAGTCTGTTTAGAGTACAAGCCTTCAACAGAATTAGAGGCAGACTTGTTTACAAAACCCTTGCCTAAGGCAAAGCATGAGTTGTTTGTAAAATCTTTGTGTTTAGTTTAGCTTAACGAAATGTTATTGTAATTTGTACTCTTGCAAATGTCTTGCAACGTTTTTATTACTTAATTATGATTGCTCGTCGTTATTACTTAATTACGAGTGGATGGACCCTTGCAACAATTTTCTCCGGACATCACATTTGTTTCAGTAGACATTGCAACTAAGTGTAAATGGACAGTCTCAAATGAATTGCTCGGAAGTGACCACTTAATACTGAAAGTTGCCTTTAAATGTATTAGTGAACGCCCTATTATACGTAAAAGAAATTTTAAAGAAGCCACGTGGATTAAATATAAAGAAGAATTAGATATCATATTTTCAGAAACTTCAACCACATCTAGTATTGATACAGACTACAGTAACTTCATGGAAAAGATAAATTTGGTAGCAGACAGGACCATACCCTGGATAAAAATCTATCAAACCCCTAGTAGCAAATTCAGTCCCAAACCATATTGGAATTCTAATTTATCTAAAGTGATTGCTGAACGTCGACTGGCTTTAGCGCAAGTTAGACGGAACCCAACTCCCAATAATTATACTATATATAAAAGAAGACAGTCATTAGCTCGTAAGGCCACCAATAAGGCTAGATGTAAAGGTTGGCAAGATTTCTGTACGAGTCTGGGGGAAGAGACTTCACCATCTGAAATGTGGCGTAAAATGAACTGGATAAAAGGCAAAAGCTATAGCAGGAGCACCGCAACTCCAGAAAGAATGAAAGAAATGATCCTGAAATAAGTAATATTCCCTTGAATCTGTTAGAAAAAGAAATAACCCATTGTGAATTGAATAACTGTATAAAACGAAAAGACTTTACCCCTGGTGTGGATGACTTCTCCTATTCCATGCTATTTAATTTGCCAGATTCTGCCAAAATATTTTGAATGAATATTTTTAAATTTAATTTTAAAAACAGGTTCCTTTCCTAGCCAGTGGAGAAATATTAAAGTAATTCCAATATAAAATAGTTAAGCCGGGTCGTGACCCCAACTCGCTATCATTGTTGCGCCTTATCTCTCTGATGTCTTGCCCATGCAAACTCTTTCATTTCATCCTTATGAAAAGAATTCAATGGCACGTGGAGAGTCGAGACTTATTATCTCCTTCCTCAGTTGGTTTTAGGAGAGCTTGTTCTAGTCTGGATTGTCTTTCAAGAATTGTTTCAGATATAACTTTGGGTTTCTCGCGAGGAGTCCCAACTCTGGCTTGCTTTTTAGACATGTCTAACGCTTATAACAATGTTAGTATCTCTTCTCTGGTAGAAAGCCTGAATGGTATTGGAGTGGGAGGAAGAATCTGTCGATATATATGGACCTTCTTGACTAATAGAATATTGACGGTGCAGTTATCCGGTAACACTTCGTTTAGTAGGCAGGCTAACAGAGGCTTAGCCCAGGGCGACCCTTTTTCACCACTACTCTTCAATATTGTCACCATGCAGCTAACAAAAATCGATACGGAAGTTCAAGTCCTGCAATACGCTGACGATTTTGTAGTATATAAGACTGTATATAATAATGAAATACAATCTGTAGTTAGTGATATTAGGAACATGATCGGTATTTTTGCAGAGTTGCTGGGAAATATTGCACTATGTATATCAGAGGAGAAAAGTAAAGCCTGTTTATTTAATAGATCCATAAAACAATTTAATTTAGAATTAGACATAGCTGGTGTAGTAATAAATAACCATAAAAAAATTAAATATCTGGGCTTATTGCTAGACTCCAAGCTCCTTTGGAACTCTCACATAAATGAGTTATGTCAAAAGATTTATAAATATCTTAATATTTTAAAAGTACGCGTAGGTAGGTCTTGGGGTGTTCACTCTAAGTTTATGAGAAGGCTATACATTTCTCTTCTAAGAAGCCGAATTGATTATGGAAATTTTTTGTTCGCTAACTCAGCGAGCTGTCACTTACATAAACTAGACCTCTTACAAAATAAAGCCTTACCAATTTGTGGGGGCTTCATTAGAACTACACCGATACATGTAATGGAATGTGAGTTGGAGACAATGTGGCACGGTGTATTTAAATAATTGTGTAAATTATTTTTTAACTCTTAAATACCGGGGCTACTATAGGATTTTTGCTGATGGTTCCAAAGACATCAATGGTGTTGGCGCGGTCTTTTACGACACGCAACAAAATGTATCATTCAAACTCAAATTGTGTTATGAAGCATGCATAATGAGAGCGGAGTTATTTGCCATAATGGAAGCATTATCCTTTGTTAGTTCTGTGGATTCAAACAAAATCGTTATTCTCACTGACTCTAAACGTGCACTTCAGCACTTGGTTCGCTGTGTCTTTGGAGGTCGAGGCATGCCGATAGCATATGAGGCATTAAAATAGGTATGCCCTTTGTCACAGAACTTATCCCATTTGTAAGGGACCTAAATATGGATCAATGGGCTAAGAGCTATGATGAGATGTCTGTGACAAGGGGTATATGGTACAAAACTATCCAATTACGTCCTCCAAGAAAGCCCTGACTCGAGAAGGATATCCAAGTCACTGTTAATAATTGCCCTTAGACTGCGTTCTGGTCACATTCCATTAAATAAGTTTTACTATCTCATGAGAAGGGCAAAATCCCCTCAATGCCAATTCTGTAACAAGTTGGAGGACATGCTTCATTTAATGGAATGTGATTGGTATGTGGACTGCCAAGCCCAATATTAATTGAAGGACATTGGTCAGGTGGGAGAGCTAAATTTAATGCTGAGCAACCTGTTGACGAAAAGTTCTGAAGCTCTATACTCCTATGTGAGGTCTTGCTTTCTGGTGAGGAGCAATACCTCGCATGGGAGTAGTGACAGATAAAATAGGAGACTTATTTATATGTATACATACATTACGAGGCCGACATAAACGCCCGATCGTTTCAGGCCTCTTAAAATTAAATTTAAAAAAAACAAGAAAGAGGTTGCTCATGTAAGGGGCAGTGTTGGTAAACCTTTTTGCTGACACACCTTCTATGTATGTCTGTGATTATTTCGAATTTTGATTTAAGCTTTTTGAAGTGTTCCTTGTCATGACTACTTAAGACAATACATTGTTTTTCTTCATCTCGGCAACTTGTGTTCTTTTTATTTTTATCGAGATTTCCTGGGATAAAAGACTTTGTCTTTAGACCTCAAGTTCTCTAACTAACAGAGGTCAAATCTTAAACCACTTCGAAACAAGTTTCACGAAGTGATACATCAATTTTTGTTTGTATATTTTTATGTATTTTAAGTTTGGCCTTGAAATCAAAGCTCTATAAAAAAATTTAAAAAATATGGAGCTTTTTGGGCGCTTCATTGCTCACTCGACTTTCCCGGCACAGTACTGGCACCACAATCTAATAAGAGATACACTGGCACTCTGGACCTTGCCAGCCCTCAAAACATATACAAGTCTCATAATTACAAGCACCGTTTATGCAATTCTTTTCACTACACTTACTGTGGGCATCGTCACAAAACAATAACACCAATAAAGTTGAACACAGAAGTGACGACAACCATGACCATTTCCGTCTGTCCTTTGATTTGAACACAAATAAGAACGTTTGCAATCGCTCTACCATTTTGATGAACGAGATTACAATGAGATTTGGTAGTTCGAAACGTGAAGCAACGACCAATGAGTATTATTAACGAGTTTAACGACCGACTGTGGAACGACCTACGTCTTCTAAATTTAAAAATATGGTGGTAGAAAAATTCGGGTTGTCACACTAAAACTCAGTGGTACCTTAGATTGCTGTGATTAAAATTTGCTAGCTACAAAATATCACGTCAAGATGAAAATAATTATTTTTAAAACGGGATTCAAGAAATACGAAATAAAAAAATTTCAAAAGAATCCAGTTGGATGGTACAGAAAACTCCAAATAAAATGCTATATTGATGGACAGAATTTAAATACGGTAGACCGGATCATAGATAATACAATTATGGGCCAAATTCAGGATTTGGGAGTGTGGGTAGACAAAAAACTGAAATTTGAATCACGTGTTAAAAAACGGTAACAAGGGATTGATAATGCTGGGGTTCGTATTGCGCAATGCGAAGGGTGTTAGAATTTAAAGTTTACAACATATTCAAATCTAGGTAATATAGAAAATCAACACGGTAGTAGAACAATAATTATTACATTTTTTCTATAACATTCACTTTAAATTAAAATACAGGTTTGAAATAAATTAGATTCGCTTGTAAATCTTGAACGTGGTGGGGAAACACTTTATCTTGTATTGTTATCATTACATGGTGAGATGTTCCTTATGTGTGTGTATAGTTAGATTTTTAGCTTAAATGTTTCATGTGTAGTGTTTTGTTTAGGTGGAATATCGTAAATAAATTGAACGTAGTTAAACAAAAATGATCCAATGCACATCCAGGCACTTTCGAGATATGACAGTTTGAAGTTTAAAAGTGTTTCTCACTCTCTTGTTTTATTTACAAAACTTATAAATTAATTAAACGTAACTCCAGATATATTTATTTATGTTTATATGATCGATTTTTTGCTGATATAAGAGGTTAGACTTTAGGAACCGTTTGGTACAAAGAACTCATTTTTTATGATTTTGTGTATTGGATCCTTTTGCTTAAATACTTACGTCAAATTATTCTTTAACCTAATACGAACAAATGCCAACACGTACATTAAAAGTCAATGTAACGAGCTAGCGTTCTTATTTTACTTCTTTACTTTTGCAACTAAAGTAAAGAAATAAAATAAAAACGAGAGAACTAAAATATACTTTTTAGTTACGAATTTCTGTCTTAATTCTATATATGCAATAGAAATTAAAATTTTCTTTTCATATATCGGGAGCTTTTTTAGATGGGTAACATTGTCGTGACATTTCGACGTTGCTGCTAAAATATTTTCGTGACAGTAGAAAATAACCAGTGTTTAAATTCACGTTCACATTATCAAAGTGTTAATAATTTATAATGATTACTCTATTCAAGTATATTGTACTACATAATGAAATATCAGTGAATTCGTTAATTATTTAGAGCGCCCTCTAGCGATCCTGCTCTTTAGTTTAATCACTTTTTGTTTTCAGCTAAGTAACCCATAAGTTTCGATAGATGTCGGCACACGTACAAATGTGCTTAAAATTTCTCCTTTTTAATTTTTTTTTAAAACAATTTAATAGTATAAACTTATCGTACTTGAAACTCTCAAAAGAATCCACTTTGAAATATTGTCTTTCCTTTACACTTCGAACAGAACAATAGTTTGTTGTCTTAATTCTTCGTAGCGGAAAAAAGGAACATCGTTGTATGAATTTTTTAAAAGTAACTCTACAATTCTCTTTTGTTATATTGAAACCTTTTTTGCTGTGATGATTTTGACGCTACTTAAGTGTAATCAAAGAAAAATAAGACCTTTTCGCTATGTAGACCTTAGAGGATGGAAAAAAGTAGACCACTGTACTAGAATGACACTTACGTTTATTATTTTATTTTTATTTATTCTACTGTCTCTCTTCATATTAGAAAAATAACTACCTACTAACCAAAAACAATATTTTGTTTTCTCATATTCCTAAAAGAGTTTGACGTAAGCATATCTAGGTATAAGAAAAGAAAAATGAAATAAATGCCAGTAGCCATTGGTTTTCTTATGTCGATAATAGAAATATATTCAGTTTTATTCTAAGTTTCTTTCTCGTTCGGTTTTGAACTTACAAACACCGTGCGTCTCGTAATCTACGATATTGTCGGTTATGACTGAATCTGTTGCAAGAAAAGATTCGGACAACTTAAAAGGCTTTTCTCCTTCTGAAAAGTGATGATGAGGTCGACAATGTACCATGCACGCTCTCGCCTTCAAAAGGCTCAAGTTATAGCGTTCAAGGAATAAGTCTGCAGGTAAGGATTTCCACTCCATAGCCCTTCGCCATATAAATATGGAAGCAAAACGCTGCATGCGAATCCTTGGAATATCCACAACATAGGAGCGGAGCCCCAGCCTACTCTAGTCCCCTGAAATGAAATCATTCAATCCCATCAAACATTCTCTGTGATATATCCTGTAGAATACCGATAAGCAGGCAACTTTACGGCGGTGTTTAAAGTTCTGCAGCTTCGCGTCTACTAACTCTTGGCACGCTTTTCAATTCATTCGCAGTCAAATAGCTAATCAGACTAATGACTCTACCATGATAATTCAATAACAGTTATCGATGTAGTTGGCCAATAGAGACTCTAGTGATCAAATTCTTCTTTTGCTTCAACATTTTATGTATCTAAATACATAAAATATTGAAGAAAAGGAAGTTTTATAACCAAGGATGAAAAGAGAGGTAAGAGTATAATTAATAAAAAAAAAATGTTAGCGTTAGAGAAAATAATAAATTGTAGTAAAAGAGTTGAGTAAAATTTCGTGTTCATCTCCTGCAGCTATTTAGAATGCATATTGTGCTGGCATTGCACGGTCTACGGCCCGTGTTACCACGGGCCTAGCTGAGTGAGCTCGCCGTAGGAAGAGTGCCGCCCGTGCCGCCGCGGGCTCACAATTTTATGGGCCTGTGGTGAGAGCTCGCCTGTACAAATTGGTGCGGCGCGGCTCGTGATATCCCAAGCCATGTGAAGCCGCTTTTAAAGGACAACATTGATAAAGGGGGTGCAGATATGTCTACCCCGCTTCACGGGCCACTGCTCTATTTATAAGTTTGTGACTAGAGCTTCCATTTCGTAAATCTCGACGATTTTTTGGCATTTTTGAGCCTTGATGATGAAATGATGTTTTCAGTTACTCGAAAAGTTTAAAAAGTTAAGAGGAATGTGCATAGACATTCTACAGTTCCAGATTAATTAAAATAAGTAAGTAGTAGGCATATGTGTATTTTATCAAAATTGGTTGAAAAAGTGTTCATCTATCTTGAAAAATTTGTAAGTTTTTCAACCCTTCATTTTTAATATGCCCCTGAAAAAAATAAATTTTGTCTTTGGCCCGCTTTTCGGCAGTAGACACATTTGTTGAAACAAAACAAAATCACGTAGTGGAGACGTGCATCGTCAAAAGAACCACCTTTTCGTCTGTAGACAAATTTGTTGAAATTAACGAAGTCACCTGGTGGACAAGTACCTACATCTGCAAAACAACCTTTACGGCAGTTAGTAGGCACTTTTGTTGAAACAACTGACCAACCTGATATTTTAAAATGGTTCTAATCTTCAAAAACTTTTGTGGGCGCGGGCGCAATAACACACGAAAGTTTTATCGCTATCGGTGAATACATAGGGCGCACTATATGTTTCGGGAACTGGCCACTTACATAAACAATATTTAAAAAATAATTACATTTGAAAATGGAACCTTTGTCTGTAGAGTACAGTTTTTCATCTGACTGTCACTTGTTTTTACATTGTGGCGTCATTTTAGAAATTTGTTGTTTACATCACCATGAATTTAACTCGTGAAAATTATCGAAGTATGAATTTTTACGACTTTTAGTGTAATTTAACAGCTCAGCTGAGCTTCGCTCGGCTTCAAACTGCTTTTGGCAATGAAGCACCATGCAAAACGACTATTTATAGCTGGTTTGCAGAATTCAAACACGGTCGTGCGAATCTCAGTGCCGAATTTCATGATGGCCGCCCATCGACTGCTGTGAACAACAAAAACATCGATACTGTGCGCCGTATGATCAAAACAGACAGGCATGTGACATACCATGAGATTCGGGCATCTTTAGACATAGGTATTAGTCAAATACAATCAATACTACACAAACATTTTTGTGTGAAAAAGCTGTGCTCTCGGTGGATCCAACACAATTTGACTGAGGCTCAAAAAACTGATCGCGTCACTTGGTGCAATGCCATGCTTACCAGATTCAACGAAGGGTCGTCAAGCTTAGTGTGGGGACATAGTAACAGGTGACGAAACATGAATTTATAGTTACGATCCCAAAACAAAGCAGCAATCAAGCGCATGGGTCTTTCGAGATGAACCGAAATTAACCAAAGTGGCGCGCGTGCAAAGTGCCTCTAAGCGGGTGATTGCTTCTTTTTTTAATAAAGCTGAACACGTGGCTACTGTTGCTTTGGAGAATCGTTGTACCGTGAATAGTGATTGGTACACAACCATTTGTTTGCCGGAAGTTATTGACATTCTCCGTAAAAATAACCGTAAACGCCGTATCATCGTGCATCACGATAATTCCAGTTCTCACACGGCCTAACAGACAAATGAATTTTTGAAGGTGAACAACGTTGAGCATATGAGCCATCCCGCGTACAGTCCCGACCTGGCACCTTGTGACTTTTATTTATTTCCAAAAATTAAGAACCTGTTACGCGGTCAACGATTTTCATCATCTGAAGAGGTTCGACAGCCTGAAAACCTGAGGGTATGAAAAATATGTTTCAGAGATTGTCACGGAGGAGTGGCATAAATGTTTTCAAAATTGGTTCATTCGTATGAAAAAATGGATTAACGCTAACGGAGAATATTTTGAGAAACAATTTCATTTCTTTTTCTCTTATTCATTCCGGAAACTTATAGTGCGCCCCACGTGATAAGGAGCGTATACAGGACAAACATTAATTTTAAATTAACCATCTACTCTACTAAATGCCATTAAGGGTGAAGGTTTGATACAGAGTGAAG